TGGTATCCCTTTTGCATTTAGTGTCATTATCAGGTTTAAAATGATGTATTCACTAAGTAACTAAAGCTTCAAGACCATTAGGGATGCACACAACAACCAGCTGTTTTTATGTTAAAACGGTTACTCTGGCAATTTACAACTGTAATAAATAGAAAAATGTATGCTAACAGTGATCAAAATTGAACTAACAGAGGGTAAGATGTTGTTGTGACTACTAATTCCAAAATCCTGCCTTCCGTTTTCTACAATGCAGCAGCTAAAGTCTGAAAGTTCACCACACTACCAATTTGCACCCCAGGCTTTATGCCGAAGATCTGTAGTTGTGCAAAATAAGAAAAAAAAGATAAGCAAATTTTAATCATATGCAGCCTTTTATGGGTGAATGAGTGATCTGCCTATGGTTTGCACTGCATACATAAAAGTTTACATAGTTGTTTTTCTTTCTGTCTTAAATGCTAAATATAAATGCGAATTTACTCTCGAAAGTAACAGGCTGAGATTTCTGTAACGATCATCACGGTCCGACTGGAATACGGCGAGTTTAGCATCTCCTCATTCATTCAGCTGTCACTGTACATAAAGACAATGTTACTGTTAATGCTGTTAGGTTATGGAAACTGTGTTTCAAGCCCAAAATCAGACTAAAGAAACCTATTTCCATATGCTGTATTTTTTCAGTGTCAAAGTTGTACCTATTTACTGTATGTATACATATTGTATCATTATAAATGAAGTAGGATGATTAGAATCAGGGCTTTTCAATCACTCTAATTGGGATGTGAATGTGTAGATGCTTGTGTGCTTTTGCGTTAGGTTAGACGATTGTACAGATTTAAATGACTGGGTTTTACTACTGCAGGAGTCGCTCATTTTTTTTACTTGTTATATTCAGTTACACAGTTCACACTGTCCTCTTTAAAGGATGCTTTTCCTTTTCTCTTAAACATCTCTTTTCATTAATGGAAATGATACATTCCAATTGTTTTGTTTTTTTTTTTTTATTAGACTGTGCGGTTTATTTATATCCACCACTCAAATGCTGTTTGTCGTCAAGAGCATGTTATATTGTGCCACAGTCTGGTTGAAGTGGTCTTCTCTGTATTCACGGCATCACGACTGAAAATAATTGTGGCGGTGGTAGGTGGGAGGTAGCAGGGAGCTCCGTATTGTTGTCATGACACCCGCTGCAGAATAATTGGATGGCTTATCAGGTTACGACATGAGGCTTAATTACACTGTTTCATTCCTGACTGTCTGAAATACCAACTCTATTACAAATTTTAAAGCGAAACTATTTAGTATGGATAACAGAAATGCTCTGTGTCATGTCAAGGATGGTCTAGGAAGCGATGTGTTCACTTTAGTATTGACTGTGAATTTGGAGGTCAGCAGAGTGCGCTGCCAGTGCGATGCTGTAATGCACAAATGATCTGTACTCACCTTTTTCAGACCCGTCATTGATTGACTGATGGATTCCTGTGTGGATGTGTCTGCTGATTCAGTGCCGTTAGATATTTTAAGATTGGCTGCTGTCCAAGAGCTGCGAAATCTGTGAAATCTGCCGTTTAAAAAAAAAAAAACCCCAATAGTTTCAACCTGTGAAGCCGGATAATAATAATAATAATATTAAATTATGATAATGTATTACATTTACACCTCGGGTAATTTAGAAACAGATGTACTACTAAAACATACTATTAAAGATATTGGGAACATTTTTTCTAATGGTTTTAAACCTTTATTTTACTTTATGCTGCAGCAGTTATAGCAAGAACAGGTTGCATAGTTTAAAAAAAATGGCACATTAACCATGATAATGTGCCATGATCTTTAATGTACCACTCTTAATATTTCTAAATGACATTGCAGTAATCATTAATGTAGTAGTGAGCTCAGTTTAAATACGAAATGTTGTAATAAGGACAGAGCACATCATGTACACTCATTCTAGAAACACTTTAAGTTTTATTTGCACTGTAATGTTGTTAAAGTGAGAAGCTAGTGACTTTTGGCACGTAGGAAATAACAGGCGTTCAAAGCTCTGTTACTGCCTGCACAGCACAATTAATCCACGAGTGGCCAAAGACATGAGAGAAAGTGCATGGGCAGGTTTTGTTGTACAGTTTCACTATGGTGATGGTGTTAAAGTCCCAAAAAACGTCCAGGTGAAATTGTGGTACTGTATAGGCTTAAAGCTAAATTATTATTTGTAAATTAATAAAACATAAAAAGTAATCTAATGTAAGAAGAAGAAAGTCCTGGATTAATAACATTATGACGCAGATAATTCCATCAGGCTCCTCTGAGTATTGTTTCATGTAGCTAGTATACTGGAAACAGCAAGCCATCAATGTGGCAGATTCCCAGCAAATCTTGACTGGATGCGGTTCTTTGGCACAGCTGAGACTTTTGTCTTTGGGAGTGAAGAGAGAGAAACCAGCACTTGGAGGTACAGCATGCCAAACTGAGTCTTATGTGCACTGAATACAAATCACCCTGTGAGGTTCTGAGCCCAGAAAGCATTTTAGGCTGTTAGGTTTTTAAAAAATGAGAAAGAGTTTCGACTGGGGAAGCCAAGTACTCTCAGAAAACCTACTGTACTTCTTAACCCCAAATAAACACTGACGTTTACAGTATGAATTTACTTTACCAAGGTGCTTATTTTCTATCTATGCAAATAGTGGGTTTCCAGCAGTGTTGTGATATTATGTTAATAGCAGTTTGTGTATGATTCACAAGCAGGTGTCCTAATCTGTGTAAAATTGTGTACAGAATTTTGAGGCTGTTATGGTTTGTTACATATTTATGCATAATAAAGGACTTTGTACAAACACTGCATTTTGCTGAAATGTCATTTTAATTACAGGATTAAGAAACCAGTCCACAGAAGCCTGTGTTTTATTAAACTAGAAGCCTTCTGTCGTGCTGTTTAATTTCTACTATCCTGTTTGGACACTACCAGAATATCAAAATGATTCTGAACTTGAAGTTTTAAAAAATCTTCAGAAAAGAAGCTTTAAAATAGCTGTTTGGTTTGCAGACAAACAGCTCAAAATCAAACATTTCAGTTTGCTTTGTCTTTATTGATTTAGCTCTTTCTGCTAAACTGTCTACAGTATTTTATTCAATCTGTACTTTTCTCAAACATTTCCCAGTTTACTGGTCAATCACAACCAAGGACGTGCACTTTGGCTGTCTGATCAATATGTCTCTAAATTCTGTCGACCGCTGTTGCCTGATTAAAGGTTTAAAAAAATGCACACCATTTGTAGTGTCTGGTGATTCTTCTTGGCTATCAATAAAAATGCCTGTGTAGTGTCATTTACACGGCCATTTAAAGTACAAACTCAGGTGAAAATTATTTTAAATACTGCATGCATGGATAGAATGATTTGTCACCCCTGATAATATTCAAAGAAGGACTTTAAGGAAAGTACATGTATATGTATCTAACTTCTAATCTTCCTCTGGCTGGAAACTCTTCAGTCTAGCGTATAACTGTAAAACCTCACCTTCTATTGATGTTACTGGTTTTGATACTGTGTTCACAAACCTCTGCAGCTCTTTCACCTTAAGTTGTGTTGGATTTATAGATTATATGCGCCAAAATTGACATGAAAGTCATTTAAAATATTGCACCATACCCAACATAACACAAATACGGTGCCACCTATGTTTGATTGTCAGTGATGATAACACAATATACAACATTATAAACAAAATCAGGTGAACTGCAGCACAAATGCTGTGAAAAGTTAATAAAAGTATAGATTAGTATAGTAGATTTTATAAATGTAAGTGTAAACAATAATATACACTCCTCATTTATTTGCACCAGAAAGGTGAATAACAAAGAGTTATGTCCTTAAAAAATCGGGGGGGGGGGGGAATGCAGCAAAGATCTGACACAGGACCCGAGAGATGCATCTGACCCTTCAGTTGATCCTTCTGCTCTTTTGTCTCAGCATAAATGCTTTCATTGGAACAGTGGCTGTCAAGGAGAAATTCATAAAGGAAGGGAAACAAGAAGGAAATGCAGAAGTATGCCATATTGCACAAGAACTGCACTGAAAATCAGTGGACCTCAATGTTATTGAAGCAATGTGGGATTGTCTGGATAAGATAAGATAAACTTTATTAGTCCAACACGTGGGAAATTTGTTGGAAAATGGATGGATAATGGAATGTCCTTGAGAAGTCCGGAGAACTATTCCTGAAGTCTACTTAAAGAAATTACAAGAAAGTTTGTCTAAAAGAGCTCAGGCTGTGTTGATGAATAAGGGTAGTCATGCCAAATATTGACTTTCAAGTTTATTAGAATTGTTCAAACACTTTATGGATTATTTCCTTTTGTGTTTGCGTATTTCAATAAATATTTTCAAGGCTCAAGGCTTTTGCACATTACTGCAGATTTTTAACAATTTATTTCTTTTAATTGAATGAAGAATGATCACACTTCTGAGAAAGCCTTTAAAGAATGAATATTTCTGTACAAGCTCATCTGAACAGTTCACTGAAGTGTCAAGGGCTTTTATCACACGTTTAAAAAACCCAATCTGATCAGCTCTGTGGGCTTGTGTTTCTGTCAGCTATCTGAGTGTTTGTTTAGACCAATTAATTATGGTTGGCAAATATTTTCATTTCCAAGGATGCATCGCAGTAGGGTGCCTCCAATCTCATTATCAGACTGTGTGCAGAAGTGGGAATGAGAATCAGCTCTGACACAAAGTGGTTTAAAAAAAAATATGTGTTTAAGATAATAATCAATCACGTTTCGGGATTAAAATATTAGAGATTCATGGCAGAAGCTCTGACTCAGCCCTGACTCATCTAGGCATGGACTCTGCTAAACCCCTGAAGCTGTGCTGTGGTACCAAGATGTTAGCAACAGATCCTTTAAGTCCTGAAAGTTGCAAGGTGGGCCTCCCATGGATTGTACTTGTTTGTCCAGCACATCCCACAGATGTTCAATTGTATTGTAATCTGGGGAATTTGGAGGTCAAATCAACACCTCAAACTCAGCGTTTTGCTCCTAAAACCGTTCCTGAACCATTTTGCTTTGTGTCAGGGCTCATTATCCTGCTGAAAGAGGCCACCGCTATCAGGAAATAGCATTTCCACGAAAGGGTTTACATGGTCTGCAGCAATCCTCCAGTAGATGGTATGTGTCAAAGTAATGTGTGGTGCCAGGTGTTTCGCAGGTAAGTGACCTACATGCATCTGGCCATGCATGTAATGCAAGAGAAGACATGATTCATCCGACCACACCACTTCCTTCCATTGGTCCGTGGTCCAGTTCTGTTGCTCATGTGCTCATTATTGGCGTTTTCAGTTATGGTCATGGGTCGGGAATTGTCAATTGTGAATTTCAGCTTCAGTAGCTCGCCTGCTGGATCTGGAAGCAGCAGGCGAGCCTACCTTCGTTCCTCAAGTACAGTACATCAGTGAGCCTTGGCCACCCATGACTCCATCGTAGGTTCGCCACTGTTACTTCCTTGGACCACTTTTAATAGATCCTGACTACTGCAGATCAGGAAGATGGGAAAATCCCATCCAGTCATCTGATCATCGAACATTAATCCTTATACCTGCCCATTTTTCCTGCTTCTAACAAATCAGCTTTGGGGACAAAATGTTCAATTGATCCCTAATATATCCCACCCACTAACAAGTGCAATGATGAAGAGCGAATCAGTGTTATTCACTTCCCCTGTCAGTGGTCAGAATGTTATGTTTGATCAGTGTATAGAGAACTGACTAATCAGATTCATGAGATCAAAGAAGGCCTGTCTTCTACTTTAGATCAGAAGAGTTAAACATTTCAGAGAAAACTTCACTATGATGAAAATTCTGTATGACAGACCTGTTGTGTGTCAGAAATCACTGACTCTGTGAACAAAGAGTGTGGAGTACCCGGCCCACCCTCAGAAAGAAGATCAGCTTGTCACAAGTAACAAAGAAAAGTGACAGAAAATCTCCACTTTGATGTTTTCAGAGAACTCACTAGAGACTAAAAAGGCACACTGTGTTATTTCATTGTATTGTCACACTGACAACAACAGCATTGTTAGTGTGCTCCTTCTGCTTCCATTACATATGTGTAAACTGGGGTTGATGCAGCACAGGCCTTGTTTTGTTGATTATACTGGAGTGCATAAAGCTTTCCACTTAAACTGCTCTCAGCTCACTGCGTGACGAAGCAGAGCTCACCTGCATGTCATGTCAGCAAAGTCTGCAGCAGTCAATTAAACCCTAGTGCATGAAAAGAAATCGCAAGAGTAAGAATATTCAGTACCATCACCAGTTATTTTTTTATAGCAGCAATAAATAGCTTTGTCATTGTTTTGCTTCACGAGCGGTAATCCAAATCACCTCTGGACATAGACATTAAATTAAGGTCACGTATGATGGGGAAAGAAAAAGGCTTATTTTCATTTAGCTCCGCGGGACAAAATATTACACTTGACGTAGTTAAACAGTCATTCTAAATTTGAAATTACTGTTTAACTTTCGAGGGATATGTTGATTACCAATGTCATATTTGTCCTTTGTGTCCCGGGATATGGCAATGAACAGCTCATTTAGTATTCATAAGTGTGTAATTGATTGCTAATAGCCTATTTAACACAATTTTGTGATGGCTAATTAGTGACTGATAAGGTGCTCTGCCCTGCTCTAATGGCTTAATATTGTGTATGTAATAGTTGTACCATTTGATACTGAGACTCCGGAGAGACCAGCTTGTGGAGGTCAGATAGGCTGACACTTCACTGCAGTTGAGATTGTTATCATAGGGAGGGCCATAACCTGCATTTCATTTTTAGCACATTTACTGATGTAGTTATATATATATGGATGTGCCGGCTCTTCAGTGCCTGTGAACCATCAGTCTTTTCATATTCATGTATATGCATGTGGGGCCAATATGAATATATTTATAAAACTGGAATTTTAGAACACACAATATAAACTGTAATAACTTGCAGTGAGCTTGCAATAAATGTCTTTCTATATATCTTAATTGCCTATCTATTTTGGCTCCAATACTGACAGACAGGAGAAAGCTAATATTGGAAAGATGGGGCCAAGCAATACAATAATGAAGGTAGACTCCAATGCAAACCCATTTTTTTTTATAGATTTTATTTATTTATAGCTTCACCATATCCCTGGATCTCTGAATCACATCTAAAATCTAACCACTTGGCCCTAACAGCCCATAAATCACGTGGACAACTAATAAAAATTGTCTGCTGTGCTGCACGGACAGTGAGTTAAGAGGGAATACAATATTACCTATTAATCCCCAGGACACTGTAATCTCTTTCTATTTTAAGATGCGCTGTATTCTTAGATACTTTAGTGTAATTACATTTTTGATTAGGAACATTCTAGTTTAAAGGCTAGATCAAATGGCTCATTGTTCTCTAAAGCACCGCAGCAGACAGTCTCATAACTAAAGGCTCATTATAAATGAATGCAGCAGCTGCTGGTGCGCTAACCAACTGTTCTGAGCTATTTTAACGTGTAAATATTGACCATTTTAAGCAAGTAGATTGTTTATTATTAGCAGCAAATATAGGTATTTATGTGCATTCAGATGTTTGTACCATAGATTGAACAGGGAAATCATTCATTCATTGGTTTAGAAGCCTGAATTTTGAAGCCTCAGCTTTAGTCCTATGAAGTGACCATATTTTGATATCAGCTAATTCTGGCTAGCTTGGTAAGAAAGCTGCATAGACTACATGGACGCATGGCACAGGTGCTTGCTGAAAAAGTTATAAGTGAAAAATACCATGTTGTTTATCAAATATTTGCTAATAAACTTACTCTGAAATCCACCAACACCACCAGAGTCCAAGAAAAATTTAAGTCTAGCAGAAGCTAGCCTCGCAGAAACAGTTGCATGTGTTAGCATCGACGTGTCAGTAAAAGTGGTCACAGTGCTAACAATGCATAGCTTAGTACATTTTAAATGAGTCAAAAAATTCAATTTTTGTATCTTTAAACATGTTTACATGTGTTGAGTAACAGACAATTTTGCTTTGAAGCTAAATTCCAGGGGCCATTAAAATAACTTCAGTTTTTCAGTCAGTGTTGGCTCTGTTTTTTTTTTTTCCACTTTGATCAGTGAATAAAAACCTCCCTGAATGGTAATGCTTTGTTTGCTATATGAATGTAATATACGGTTTGTATGACATTAGTCTAGAGATTTTTACAGAGTGTTTGTCTTATTACTTCAAAGAAGAGCTTAAGCACAGCCATTTCTCATGCTGATTTGGAGAGCTTTAACAAGACATGACTTTATCTCCACCAAGTCCCTGTGAGTACCCATAACAGTACATGATATCACTGTCCCAGTTGTATCGTGATCTTTCCTCTGGTCCTTAAACCTATTGGGGGAAAAAAACCAACAAAAAACAAAACAGTGTGTAACCACAAACTCAAACAGAAAGTTAAGTGACAAAGGTTTGGCAAAGGTTTAGAACCTGTAAAATAGTAAGTTTTTACTGATGAGATTTTTATTTATTGATTCTTTTTTAAATGTTTTTTGTATTTGTTTTACTTCTCCAGCATATTCCAAAAGTTAGTAAGTAAAATTAAGTAAGTAAAATTTATTTATGTAGCGTTTTGGTAAGAAACCAGCCACAAAGAGCTTTTATGTTGTATCAGAAAAACTGCTGTGACAAGATAGAAATTAATCTGTCCATTTTTAAGCATTGTGCACATTTTATACCTGGAAGTGAAGAAACCTAGTTTAGATTTTGGCCACCACATCATTAACAGGCTAATTTGTAGCTCTTGGAGAGTATTACTTGGATTAAAACACGTTTTTGTGAGGGGGCTTGCCAAGCAATTTGTGCATGAAATGCACTTTCCTGGTGTAAGTCTCACTCCCGCTTAATGTACACCATGCACCTTTGTAACATTTGACGTTCTTTTTATATGTCAGAGTGCAATTTGTGCAACGTTAAAGTGATTTATGCCTTTCGGTGAGAGAAAGTTTATTACATTAGCTGCAATTTAGTAATGGGAGTTTCAAAAGAAGCTTTATTTTACACTTTAGAAAATACAATTTGCAGAAGATGTACAAGATGTGAAATAAAACACTGGATGATAAATGACAGTGCCTTTTTCTAAAAGCAGATAAAATAGAAGAATAAAAACATTAAGAGCTTAATTGTACTGCAATCATGTTTATTTCCCTATTTTGGGGCATCTAGCTTAGAATGCACATTGAAGGCTATTCTACACGCAAATAACTTGCATGCAACTTTATTAGGAAATGGATGAAGTATGTACAGAGATATCTGTTTTACATGAGGTATGAAGAAAAACATCCAGACCAGGGCAGTTCAACTGTAATATTAGGTTAAAAAACAACAACTAAGAAATGTAGCAAATTAATTTTAGATTAATGTATTTGCTTTCTTGCCTTATTAGTCTACTGACTGTATTCAGAAAATAATATACATTAGTGACCAGGCAGTTTTTAATACTATTTGCACTTGTCTATAACGTGTGAACGTGGTGTCTAATTGCACATGCCAATATCAAAAATACACTGCGTATTTAAAGTCACTAAGACAGGCTTCCCAGAGATTATACGTCGTATTGTGTGTATTGTATTGCAATAATATACCAAGCACCTGGCAAAGACATCAATGTTAACTGCACCATGGGTTAACATTAATCTATGTACAATAAACCCGCAGGAGTAGAATTCTGTTGTACTTACTCTCTGGTGTTTCTGTGTGTAGGCATTTGTGGATTTCTATAGGATTACTGGATGGCATTCGGAGTGTGTCTGTCGGTTTGTGTTGCATTTTCCTACAAATACTGGGTGCATGCAGGTATTTTGTCAACACTTTTTTTTTCTCTGCTGATGACCAACAGAAGCCTTGTATATTTCTCTCCTTTTCTCTACTTTCATCCCCCTCGTCAGGGAGAAAGGTCGAAACGCTTTGATGGTAGAAGAGATGGGATTTTAAGTTTGGCTTTCTTCTTCTCAAACTTCAATGATGTTGATTGATGGCACAGAAGGATGAAACTGCAAAAACAAAATACAAATAAGTATTAGTCACTGCTCACATGGATGCCTTGATCTCAGAATTTAACAGAGCCAATAAACGTGGAGTGTGAAAGCCTTACTGTGCTTTAGGTGTAGTGGTTAATACATTTGCCATCAGCTATGGCAACACCTTAGGAAATAAAGTAGCAGCCATGAGGCTAAACAAACTTTTTATTCAGCTCTATCTTTTGTTGAACTTGATACTTTTGATACTTTTGTATTTTGTTTGGACAGTGTTGGCTCATATGTTGCAAGCCACTGCTAGCTTACTCAAGTTGCACCGTCTTATACAAAACAACTAATTTTAATAATATATAGTTATAGCTCCAATGATTGATCAATATCAAGAAATGTCAAAATTTATTTTGCTTGTAAAATACTTTAAACATGTAATTCCGAGTTACATCAGTTGATGAATTGTTAATTTTCTGCTTTTTCAAAGAAATGACAAAATGTGGCCCCACTCTGTCTTTAAGGAGCAAACTGTATGCTGTCACTGTCTCAGTAATAAATGATTTAAGACATTTATTGGGTTCAAGGTAAACCAAGTGTGCTAGTCACCAAATCTAAGAAGAGAACACTGATCCAAGGTGTCTGACAACTACCTAATAAGGATGAGAGAACTCAGTGTCTAGCAATGTTACATTTTTGCTTGAGGTCAAAATTCTCAGTGTAAGTGACCTTGATAATTGATTGGTCAATTGATAATTGATTAATCTATCCACTCCAGTCTGATGCTTCTTTAAGGCTCTGCCGGTGCTTTATCTACGTATTGTTCAAGACAAGGGACTTAATCTGCACTTTTAATGACCAGTATAGTCTCAGGTTTGTACATTTTTATATGTGTAAATATTGGACAGTTGCCTACTGAGAAATGGATGATTTTGTTCCTCCAGTAGAAATTTATTAGATTGGTGTGACTCAGATCAGATTTGTGATAGCGTACAGTGTATTACTTCAGCCATCAACTCAGGGAAAGTTTCAGCTCAACTAGTATGTCAAGAGAGTGAGAGAAAATAAACTTTTGTCATAGCAGTGGAATATGAAATAGCAATACATATGGTGTGTATAGAGAGACTTTACTTGGATGTATATATACAGCTGTTTGAGGCTGGTGTGAAGCTTAACAAGAACCGAATTCAAATATTTCCGTCTCTGTGTGGCCTCAGTCCTGAGACTTCACCTTGCTCCTTAGCAGTCCTCCACTGTGGTGCTCTGGCGTGCTTCTTTCTGACGACGGCTTGGCCTTCTCCTTATTGTTGCTGGAGTCGTTGTCCTTAATGATGTCATACTGCCGGCAGAATAGGGCAATAACAGCTGCCAGGAGGTGAGACAGGGGCACATTTGCAACAAAACACAAAAGAGGATAGGAATTCAGTCGTGAGGCAGCTGTCAATCACTGTCATGTCACCAATTCCTCTAACAGCACATGCTGAAATGCCATGTGGATAATGGAATTTTGTTCCCATGGGAGGGTGACGGCTGTGCCTTTATCTCAAAGCTCGGAGGAGAGTCATTCACTATACTCTTTGCTTTCTTTCACTGCTAAATCTGCCAGATGCAGATTTGCCTCCAATTTGGATAAGTACTGTATATTCTCAATTATCTTCCTTGCTTCACTGAGGTCATGAATTTTTATGGGGGCGCTTTTATTAAATATTCAGAAAGTGATATACAGTTCTGGTAATGAGAGTTACAGAGCTGTTCTGAGACACATTCGTTAAATTATTATTCATGCATCATGTAAGTCGTCTCCTGCATTGCAGCCACGTCATTCCCTCTGCAGCAGAAAGGTACGAGTGGGTACTTCTGCATCTACCCTCATTGTTTTGTCGTAGAATTACAAAGGCATTTGCGGAAGTGCAGAATGAGAGTATCCGCAAAAACTTCAGCTACACAGCTTTGTATGTCTGATTGCTGTTTTTCTTTACACTTTAAGCATGGTTTAGTCAGGCCTAAGTTAGTACATTGAAATCTTAAACAGAATAGCAGAAAAGATGAGCACTATATTAAAAATCACTTAGTTATACCACACTGCTCCAAAAATTAAAGAAACACTTGATCATCACAATATAAGACAGACAGTTAAATGCTAGAACATTAATTTCTCGTTAGTAAGTTTAAACTGTTATGAATCCATCTCAGCTGCTTCGGTGCAAATGAAAGTGACAACAGGTGCACTGGAGAGGAAACCCCAAGACAGCCCCTAAAAAGGTTTTGCAGGTGGTGGTCACAGACCATTGCTCTCTCCTTCTCCTTCTTGACTGATTTTTCTCTAGTTTTTCCTTTTGTTAGTGTGCTTGTCACTTCTGGTAGCATGAGACAATCCCAGAAGCCCATTCAGGGTTGCACAGGTAGTCCAGAATCTCTAGGATCACACACCTACACATGCTGTCACAAGAAGCTTTGCTGTGCCTCCCAGCAGTCTCAAAAGTGTGTGAATGAGTTATCAAAACATGGATAGTTACATAAAGATTGATGCCCTTCTACAGTTACAGCACTGTGGAAGGCATCAACCCAACAGTGGGACTTGTATCTGCTCCTCTGTGCAAGGAGGAGCTGGAGGAGCACTGCCAGAGCGCTTCAAAATGATCTCATGTGCAGGAATTTGACCAAACTGTCACGAATAGACTCCCACTAAAGGGCCCAGTGTCCTTTAGTGACCTGTGCTCACCGACCAGCACCATCCAGCTCAACTGGCATAACTGCCACTAGAACCCAGCTCACTCCACGAGCAAAAAGCAAAGCTAGAGAAAGATTGGTCAGGTTATATATCTGTGAAGGTTCTCAGTCCTCCAGATCATTGTAGTCTAAGGAGCTTAGAAAGAAAAGCTTCTGGACTTCTTTAAGTTGCTTGAAGACGTTTCAGCTCTCATCCGAGAAGCTTCTTCGGTCAGGTTGGATTCACGATGGTTTCCGCTCCAAACTGCACTGATTGATATTCCTAAAGTGTAGCTGACTTTGTGTTACACTGACAGAATCAATTGTTCCCTATTATTTGATTTGATTTCTTTGAGCAGTGGGTTAAGTTTTAACTCTAAATGAATAAATTCAAAGAGGATCAGGTAAATCCGACATTAAGCTTGACTGATAACAAATGTGGAGTCCATTATGAATATGCCAAACGGGTTGCTTCTTGTCTTTCACTCCCGCTCTTCACAGCTTCCGCGTTACCTTGGTTTCTCTCATTAGTATTATTTAACATCTCACTCTGGTCCTCGTGGGTGGGAAGCCCTGCTCCTAGCTGCCTGACAGATACGCCACTTCTCATTGTGCCTCAACACTTCATTAATCATCGCACTACTTCAAAGGAGAACCCCAGAAGACGAGAATGCTCAGAAAAGTGTGATGTTGGTTTGACACTGCTGCGCAGTCGTCAGATTTAGTTTACAGACAGACCCACTTGCATTTTTTTGTACTTTAGCTTAAACTTGATTGCTGTGCCGCAGGTTTTACCTACTGTGAAAAAACTGTCCCATTATAGTTCTGACTTTTTTTTTTGCAGAGCTTTCATTTAACTTAAAACAACTGCTGTAACATTTGCATTTTAGACAGTACTCAATCTCCTGTCAGACTAATGATACCTGAATATAAGAAGTAGTCTCATACTAAATCAGCTGATCCTGAATCTGATTCAGGATTCTTTGTTTTATGTTTTTTCTTACTTCATCAGTGTCCCGCCAGTTTTTACTGATGCTCTGTTTTGTATGGTGGGTGCAAGGAGGAGTGATGTTGCTGTCATCGTACAAAGCACACATTAGAATTATTATTGTGACTAAAGTGATCCTGAGTGAGCTTCACACTGAATATTTATTCCCCCCTCTTCCTGCTTATTGGTCCTTCTTTCTTTTCTTCATTCTTTCTTTTTTTTAAATTGAATGAAATCTACAAACTTACCTGCCCACATGACCAAGACCACGACAATTATGATCATCTCTCCAGTTTGTAGATGTCGAGACTTGTCCAGTCCCTGCACAGTGGGGTCATCTTGGAGAGAGGACAGACAGAGCACATCAGAACACTAAATATGAAATCTAAGAGGCACTGCGCATTTAAATACAATCCACTGGGACATTTTATGGAGTAGAAATAATAGTCTGGCACAGTCTGAGAGAGTCTGTCTGCTTTATAATATGAATCAAACTCACTTTGTGTCTGCACAGATTGACAAAAATGTATACTTTCTCTACCCTTCATGACAGTTATGCCATTTAACAGAACTACAGTAGTTTTGGTGGGCATTCCCACACATCAATCTTGTAACATTAATCCTCCTTTAAGTGGATTGACTAGAAACTTTCCAAACTGCCTCTCAGCTCGTATGGATGGAACTCTTCCAGAGCCCCACTCTTCCCAATTGCCTCTTTTATGGAATCAAGTTGTCAAGAAACTGGCTTTAAATGCCAGACACTCAGCTCTCTTCGCATAAAAACAGTCAGATAGTTGGGTCAATTGGAGTGTCACATTTATCCCCATCTTGATAGTGTGAGGATGTCAGCGGCGAGAGGGCAGAAGTAGGAGTACATCGTCAAAATCAACCACAAATTAAAGAGAAAAGCAGGATGCTAATTTGCCAAAAAGACTTGGAACTACATGTAAAATTACAGATGACTGGATATTTGAAGGGATTAAAGCAAAAATCATCATAAATTAACTTTTTTCCCTTTTTTTCTTCTTTTTTTTTCTTAGCATCAACTTCCATCATTTTGTTCCCATGGATACCAATATCTTGTTAAGTTGTGGTGGAAAAACTGTCATAGCACCCAGGATTGCTGCCAGCTCTGGTTGTAAACCTATGCCACATATAACAAAAACACTCATTCAGCTTTATCCAAACTTTAGTATGAGTGAAATATCGAGTGTATGTCCAGTACTGAGGCCTGTGTTACGCCTCCTCAAGACTACCCAATCAGCAACCTCGTGAGTGTGATGGTCTTTTGCTGTGTGCTATGTGAGAGAGATAGGAGTTGCAGCTGATATCCCAATCTGATGAAAAAGTTCTGAACCTTATTTTGGACTCAACATTTATATGTAGGAAGGCTTGGTGTCTACACTGCAAGATACTTCTGAAAACGTAGCCGGGTCTGTGCGTAGAGAGACTTCTGGTGGAAGCGTTGGGTTGATGACGGCACATCAAAGACCGGCTTCAGAGATGAATGGAATCTGTGAGACTTCTTACTTCCCCACTGAACTTCTCGTTCCTTTTAGAAGTTTTTTAGTTGATCTAATGATCAAACTTCACTTGCAAGAGCACACTGGTACAGGCTGTATAGTGTGCATATACTACACTGATAAACCTAACCATTATAACCTTGTATGTCTCCTTCTTCTGCCACCAAAACAACTCAGGTTACTAATGTATCTGACACCAAGATATTGGCACCAGATCTTTTAAGTGTTGTAAAATAAGACTTGTTTATTTGTTCGATGTGAGTGGTCATTACCCTTTGGATCATTGGCTTATATATGCAGAAACATGATGCTGTAATAACACAAAGATCTGAATAACATTTCCATGTGTTGTTTCATAAATTTTTTATGTTGGTGGCAGACTCATATATGCTGTGTGAATTTGTGCTAAAGAGGAATGAGTAGATTTCGCTGCCTCCTGTACACCAAATAATTTGTGCAGAGATAATTAGTCGACCCTGCTTCTGCTCGCCCCCTAATCCCGAGATGTTGGCTGTGGCTGTGAACTGCGACAACACACCAGGGATTCTGTGCTGATGCCACAATGGTGCATCATTGAAGTCTTTCATGATGTTTACTTTAGAATGAGCAATTTTATTTTAGGCTGCATTGCTCCTTTAAAAGTTTTTCCACTGAAAAAGTTTGATTCACGATCGGACTTATTAACTGATTATCACAATGAAAGTAAATACAATTTTTGTTGCAGCCATGTTTCCCAAAAAGTTCAAAAGTTGAATTGTCCCGCTTGTAGTTTGGACGTGTTGCCCAAACACATGAACATTGTAATATAGCAAATGTGACAAAGGATGCCCCATGCCGTTGAGCAGCTGAGTTATAGAAAACAGCCTCTTCAGTTCGCAATAACAGATGTAACATAGTGATAAACAAGCTTGTGCCCCAGCTTTTGTCATGCATGTTGCCCCCATGAAAGTCATAATAAGCATATACTTATAATGCTTATACTTACATAGTAATAATAATAATAATAAGAGAATTTCTTTGCAGCTATTTTGGTTGCATAATATTCTAGAGTAATAGCCTTTAACCTTATATAAATCACTGAATGCAGATAGAGATAGGCCCAAGTATGAATCATAATGAAGCTATTAGACAGTGTGTGGCATGCCTTTGTCTCACTGCTGTTAATAGGAGACCCTATAGGTGTAGCTTCTGACTCAGTAGAGACAGCTAAGCTCTGCTTTGAAGCATCATGCAGTAATTGTGTCTAAGGGGACCACCTGCCTAGTTAGGTTAGACTGCTCAAAGTCTTCATCCTTTGAAAATACTCTTCCTTTTTGTTACACCGTATGAAGTGGATTGGAAGTTACTTGGTGTCAGCGGTTTCTTCTCAGTTGCTGTGCTACGGAATGATTTTTGTGTTTGAATCAAAACGTGTTAGTTTACCCAACTTTGTCTGAAAGTTTGAATCTTTTGCGAACCAAATTCATGTGACTGGAATTTAAACTAAGCTTGTCTAACTAAAATTAATTCCATTCAAGTGCAAGTAATTTTTTTAAATTTGCAATTGCATATGCAT